CAATGTGCCCTTATTTCAGTTTGGATCTGCTGCTGAATGCTTTCTGTGAATTCCGGGCCTTCCAGTCGGGCTCTTTCCATTTCATAAGTGCACGGTCTTCGCCAGAGGGCCCAGAGCACTGCCTTGCGGCCCAGTTTGAACAAATTACTAGTGAAATCGTCCATCTGATTCGTGGTGAGGACCTCGCATAGCAAGGCTTTCCAATCCCAAGGCCACTGAATCTGGATCCCCTGTTGGTCCCAGATTATGTCCCACCATCTCCATAACCATACTGCGCCCGGGCATTGAAGAAAGATGTGTTCGATTGTTTCCGGAATCTTCCTGGAGGGAAACACGTCGGTGCAAAGCCTACACCAGGGAAGGGATTGCCCTCGCTATTCCAGGTTCGTCCTGTCGATGAGCCAATCGTTCGTTGGCAGACAGCGGTGGTCGATCTGCCATTGCAGCGAAGCAATTTTTGCCGGTTTTTCCTTGATCAGTCTGAACCACTTTTTTCCCCTCAGCTGGTTCTTATCAATGTTTAGATGGTTCATCCATCGTGCCTCCACCCGATCCCGAAGATTTGTTTTTGGCCGAAGGAGTCTATAAGTCGATTTGACTGTGAGGCCGTATAATGATGTTGTGGTTTTCCGGCCCTTCCCTGCGGTTGTTGTCCACGTCCATTCCACGGGGTCTAGAGCGAGTAGGTGGATCGGGGTTTGGGGGCAGTAGGCGATCTCTTGTTGCTTTTCGTGAAGAACTGTGATTCTGAAGAGGTCTTCTCTCTGGCATAGGATTGTTTCTTCCGGGGAAGTTCTTTGGAGGATGTTATTCCAGCCTATTTGGTAGAGAACAACTCTGATCGCTCCGTCGGTTTCATATTGTGCTATGTTGCCCACCTGATTCGGGTGGTCCCTCACTGCCACCCAATCTGATAACAGGAGGGTTGGGCCTTTCCTTAGAGTTCTCCACCAGGCCAGAGGTATCCTGTCAATTAGGGTGTCCAAGGCGTCTTCCAGGTGGAGACAGGAGCGCAGCCGTTCTCTCAGCCTGTCCGGGTCGATCCAGTTCCTTTGATCCCTGTCCCATATATCCTCTATCCTAGTCACCCCGCGCTTCACCCAGCCCGACCACGACGATGCCATGCAATCGAGAGTTTGCCCGCTTGAGTCGGTGATCCATCTATTCCCAAAAAGAGGTTGTCGTGCCACCTCCTCCCATCTTTCTGGCGGGGTTTTGTCCGGTAGGGGCAGGCTCCTCCATGTTTTGAGGAAGTCCGGCCAGAACGGGTCGTTGTGCAGGTCAGCCCTTGCTGCTTGTCTAGGTGAGAGGGAGGGGGGAAGACCTTGCTGTTGATGCATGGCCCTTCCCGGAATGGGCCATCCCGTGTTTTCTAGCCACATCAGTGGATCTTTCCCTCCCCCTGTCGGTGGTGCTAGACGGGCGATCTGTTCGCGGGCTAGCCCCTTCCATGGGGTATCGGGACAAAATAGCAGACGTTTGAGCCATTGCAACGCGAGTGCCTTTGTTTGTAGCACCGGATTGAGTATGCCCAGGCCACCGCAGGCCTTCGGTTGGATCAGGGAGTGCCAAGCGACTCTACTAATGACATTTTGCTCTTCGTGGTCGCCCCTCCACAGAAAGGCAGCGATCTGTTGCTGCAGGGGGCGAAGGGTGCTCTTGTCCAAGGCCCAGATGGCTGACTTATACCACATGGAGGCTAGTATCACATTATTTATTATTAATGAGCGCCCCTATCAGCGAGGTATGTTTGTTCTTCCATAGTGTCATCTTCTCACGAGGCGGGCCTGAAATCCATTCGTTGTTTGTGGTCGGCCTCCCCTCTGCCGACATGAGCACCCCCAACACCCTGATCGGGGCTTCTTTTGGGAGCCATTTTATGTTGGGCTCTTCTGGGGGTCTCACTCCTTGGTGGTGGATCCACCAGGCCTGGGTTTTGTTGCCCCTGTTGACTCGCATATCTGCTAATGTACAGAAGCGGTCCATCATGTGTTGGACTTCAGCCAGCGATTCGGGGGAAGCTTCCGTCATTACTGTGAGATCGTCTGCAAAAAAGGAACAGACAGGAACTGCGTCCTACGGAATTGACGAGATTTGTATTTTTCTGATGCTCCCGTGTTTCCTCAAGTTGGCTGCCAACGCCTCCATTACTATTACAAATAAGTACAGGGCTAGAGGGTCTCCTTGTCGTACTGATCGCTGGAGCTGAATGGGTGGGGTCAGGTTCCCATTCACCATTACTCTAGTTGTTGCGTTTGTGTGAAGGATCCTGACCCACCGTCCGAAGGCCAGACCGAAGTTGAGTTTCTCCAGGCATTTATTGAGGAACAACCAGTCCACATGGTCATATGCTTTCTCAAAGTCGATAAAAATGATTGCTGCGTTTTTCCTTGACTGCCGTGTTAGCTTAATGACTTCGTTGACCAGGAGGACATTATCCTAGATGTTTATTCCTTGAATAAAGCCAGTTTGGTCTGGATGTATGATGATAGGCATGACTGACGTCATTCGGTTGGCCAAAGTTTTTGCCATCAGTTTGTAGACGACTGTGAGCAGGGTGGGTCGATAGTTCCAAATGTTGGTCCTGGCCCCTTTCTTGTACAGGAGCGTCAGGACCCCCTGCCCTACAAATTCCCCGGTCTGTCCCGATGCCCAGACTGCCTGGTAGAAGTCCATGAGATCTTGTGAGATGTCGGGCCACATTGCTGTCCAAAATTCTTTGGGCAGGCCATCAATGTCAGGTGTCTTTTCGTCATCCATTTGCTGCAGAGTTGTCCATATCTCCTCTTTAAAAAGAGGTTCGTCCAAGATTGCGCTTTGGTGACCACTCAGGGTTTTGTCTAGCGGGAGGAGAAAGTCTTCTATCTCCTGTAGTCGGTGTGCGATTGATGTGTCACCACATTCTGAGGTGAAGAGTTCCTGGTAAAAGTCCCACGCAATTTGGGTGCAGACTGCTGTAGAAGTGTGCAGGGGGCCTTGGTTGCCTTTGGGGTCCTCCAGGGCCTTTATCACCGATTTTCCCGCCTTTGCCCTGGCCATCGCAAAAAAACTTGCATCCATTGCCCCTTCGGTGGAGTGCCTTGAAAGTTTGCCCCGGATACGGACGCGCTGCCAGCGGTTCTCCATGTGATCCAGCAGGCGGACTTCTAAGTTCTGGATTGCGTTGGCTACGTCGGTTTGTTGTGGTGTGGTTGTCGTGGATGCTAACGCTTCCTCCTGTTGTTGCAGCTGTTGCAGTTGGTGATGCAGGTTCATCTCCTTGGCGTGGCGTTTACTTGCGAGGAGTTTTGAGTATTCGTTGCACTTGCGGCCCAAAAATGCTAGACCGTTGTTGAACCATTCGATTATGTCGTCGAACCGGGCCTTCTGTTCCCGCCAGAAGGACCAGACATCTATGAGGTATGCTCGAGAGCGGTCGATCGTCAGGAGCGAGGTATTTAGTTTGTAGAAGCCTCTACCTTGGTCCATTTTTTTCCGGAACGATAAAATAACGACGCACATTGCATGGTCCAGACCCAGGAATGGGTTGCGCGGAAAAATGTCGGCAATTTGGAGGGCTCCTTACATTTCTTCTGAAATCAGGATTAGATCGATGCGGGATCTCGTTGATTTGTCCGTGCCGCTCTTGCGGAAACGTGTGAATCTGCGATTGGTCGGGAATTGTCTCCTGAAGGAGTCGAAAAGGTTAAGGGATTGTGTGAGTTCTGCGATGTTTTTTTCGTCATTTTGGACGTATGTGGGGCATGGGGCAGGGAGCTTCCATCTGTCCAGCACACGATCGGGGGCCGCGTTAAAGTCACCCTCCAGAATTACTGGGATCTCTGCTGGAAGTTTGACATTCAGGGACTCTAAGAATTGTTGACGCTGGGAAGGGTCGTTGGGTGCGTATATGTTCAGTATACACACCACGTCAATCTCCAGCATGGCAAGTAAATACACCCACCTGCCCTCCTCCCGGTCTGCCGCCCAGTTCAGCATCTCTACCTGTGAGTCCGGGGGGAGCCATATGGCTACACCGGCGCTCCCCGGCCTGGGGGCATGGGCCATGAAGGCTTGGTGGGGCCAGAGCACTTTGTGTATGTGGTTGTGGTCCGGGGTGTCCATGAGGTGGGTTTCCTGCAGGCAAACGACGTCCGGCCATTGCCTACCCTCCACCCCTCTGAGTTGGTCAATGATAGCCTGTCTCTTGGATGGCTTCGCTGAGGCCAGGCTGTTGACATTAAGTGAACGCAAATCAAGGTCTGCTTGGCACTTGCAGGCCTTCCAGGCCTTGTCTCTGCCGTATAATGTTTCCACGGTGTTCGTTTCGCTGATTTGCGCTTATGTAATTTTTTTTTCCTTACATGGGAAGCCACTTCTCAGAGTCCAGCGGACTGCCGCTCTGCAGGGCGCCATTTCTAAGAATCTTGACCACAAACGAGGTGATTTCCGTGAGGAGGGCGTTGTGGTCAAACCATCTCAAGCCCTCAGAGGGCTCATGGTCGTATAGCAGATAGATGTCCTTGGACGTCAACCTGTGTTGGGCGTATGAACGGACGAGGGCAGCGGAGGCACCCTGTGGGAGCTGATCTTGCATCAATTGTGATATTTCCGCTTTCCTCAATGCCAGGCAGTCTGCCCAAGACATGAGGGAGAGAAAATAGGAGGAACACCCTCTCATAGTGACCTCGCCGTGTGTTGTCCCCGGCAGAGCTGCAAGGCCAAGTTCCCAACCCTCGTCTTTTTTTCTCACCGGTAGGAAGATGATACCTTTATTCAAGGGAGGGCCATCAGGTGGTGCCTGTTCTAGAAAATGGGCTATTTTTTGCCTTTTACTGGTGAGCACATCCTCGGAGGGATTGGGGGCAGGGCCGGGGGGATAGCCTGGTGGGATCTGGTTGGGTGCTGTTGACCAGGCTGGCAGCGCCAAGCACAGGCCCTCTGGGGAGCCCTTCCCAGTTGGCTCCGAGGTTTCCTGTCCCTGATGTGATTGCGACTCTGCCCGGGGCGCCTGTGGATACACACCCTCTACAGTTGTTCCAACCTCCTTCTGGTTTTCTCCCTCCCCTCCCTGCATTCCTCCCTCCCGTTCCGTCCCCGAAGGGCTGTCTTCCGTCACACCTGCTACCGCTGTTCCTTTCTCCAACCGGGTTTCACCCTCCCTTCCCTGTGGTCCACTCACTCGTACCTCCCTCGAGGGGTTGTCCGCTGCCGTCGAGGCGGGTGCCGCGTCCTGTTGCGGTGTCGGAGGTCGGGGACAGTTGGAGGTTTCCTGTTCTTTACCTACCTCCTGCTCTGCCAGTGGGGGCTGAAAACGTTTGAGAACGATGCTGAGGAGTTTCTGGCATATGGTGTGCCAGTCTGTTCCTTCAGGGGGTCCCTGTAGCAACGCTTTGTGGAAGCAGTCACCACTTTCCAACATTGGGATCAGCTCCCTGTACACCCCGTCCCAAACGTCATCATTGCCTTGCAAATATTTCGCTCGGAGGCTGTCCATCAGCCAATCCGCCACTGGTTGCAGACCCAGATCTGGGGGGCAGTTCACCTGTGGCTCCTGGGCTTCCGTCATCTCGACGTCCGGTGGAGCTGGTGGGGGGGGGGGGGGGGGGGGGCCTCAGGGACGGGCTCAACTTCCATCGGGGCCGTTCCAAAGGCATCTTCAAAGTGGTCTTTTTTCTTGTCGGGCTCTGTTGTGCCGCAGTGTCCTCCTTGTCCCCCTGCCGGAGGCTCCGGGGCCCCACTTGTGGCTTGCCGATGTGTCCTTAGCCTGCAGCGGACCGGGATCCTCTGCTGCCGGCCGCGAGCCAGGGATAACTGCTGTGTCCAGCGGGCCAGGGTCTGCGTTGTCCTTGGCTTTGGGTCTCCATTCCAGCTGCTGACTGGTACTTGTGAGTTGTTCTTGGGGACGGATTACTGCAGGTAGGTAGCCTGCTGTCGGCGGGCCTGGGACGTGGTTGGGCTGTTGCTTGTCGTCGGGCGATGCGACTGGTTGTTTGTTTTTTTCCTGGGTGGAGGGGGGCGGCTCTGGTTGTGGCGGCTGAGACGGCAGGTCACTAGTGGGGACCGGGGGCTTTTCTGGTATCCGGGGCTCTTTCAGGGAGGGAGGAACCCAGTCATTCGGCGGCCTGGTGGCCCAGCATGTGTCGCCACTGCCTTCCCACACCCAGCCTCTCGCATGTCCTCTGGAGTCCCGGTCGTCGAGGTACGTCCATCCCTCGTGGCCTGGGTCCACTGTGTACCATCTGTTGGGTCTGCGCGGGTCTCGCTGGAGGCGGCCCGCTGTTGGGCTCCTTTTGTTGGGATGTCGGGGACAGGCCGATTCTGTGCTCAGGTGGCCGTACGCCCGGCACTTGAAGCACCAGGGTCTAAACTTGTGCGCAGTGTGAATTTGATAGGTTTTGCCCCCCATACCGAAAGGGATGATCTCGTCAATAGAGAAGGGTTGGTCCTTGGGGAGGTCCAGGGCCAGCATCATGTAATCGTCCCGCTTTGCCACGTATGACAGGAGAGGCTCAATAAAGTCGACGATGTTGTATGTCTGGCCCATGCACTTACCCATAGTTGAGGAAGAAAGGCAGAATCACTACGTCTTCTCATGAACAACATCGTACCCAATAAAACCCGAGGTCATCACAGCATACACCGAATCAAGGAACTTCACCCATCTTCAATCGGCAGGTTGAAGCTTCATTCTCCCCGCCGCTGGCATGCAGCATCTCAGCTGCTTCCCAAGTAAAGCGATCTTTACCCGGCTTCCTGGTCTGTTGATGTCCCCGACGAAGGGGAAACTTAGAGAGCGTCCACCGCGCCTGCATTTGGCCGTAAAAACCGTAAAGATACAAACAGTCGCCCAACAAGCAATACAGCCACCACCTCACCCGCCCGCTGCCATAGCCAACAACCACCGCTCGGCGAAGTGCAAAGACAGCTTCCACCCAAAACTTCCCATCGCGCCGAGCGGAGGTGCTGCTACCACCTCATCCTCCCACCGCCATAGCCAACAACCACCCACCGAAGTGCAACCGCGGCTTCCCGCCAAGAATTCCCATCGTGCCGCGCGGTACAGCCGATAGCGGGGCGGGGCGGCGCGGCGCTCCCGGCAGCGGCAGCGCCGCGCCCACCGAACCTTTGTTCCCTTCTTCTTTTTCTTTCGTTTTTCCCCTCTTATCTGTGTCCGTGTAGCAACGAGCTACTTCGAGATGTTGGGGAAGCCCTGACTGATGGCATACTGAAATCTCGATGCCTTTAACTTTTTCGGTTTGTTGTTCCCTGAGACGGCTGGGACGCTGAACCCCTTTTTGCTGAGCCAAATCTGAGCTCCCTTTTTCCTGTGCCTCAAAGATTAACTTTTTTCCGGAAAGATTTCTGCCGAAGAGGGGCGCTGGACCCCGTTTCCAGCAGGTGGAAGATTTATTTTGAGCAGTCAGTTAGTTAGGGAGCTTGGCTCGGAAGCTGAACTGGCTGATGCTGCCAGGATAACCCCGGGTTGAATTGTGAGGTCCCCGGCCTCGTCCACTTATCTTCTGGAATCTAATTGACGAGCTTTCCCAAAAAAATAAAAATAAAAAAATAAATAAATAAATAAAAATCTGGATGCCCTGACTGTTGGCGTACTCACACTAGTACTGTTCAGCTGAGGATGTATCTGACCACTAAGGCAGGGCGTTTTCCACGTTCTCAGGAAAGGCCCCCACTGAGAGGTGGACCCCACTGCTTTGCGGCAAAGCTTTGGAAAACGATCAGCGATGACGTGGCAAGGTGGCATCACTCAGTTTTTATTTGTCCGATCCTTGCGGTTCGTCCATTCTGAGGGAGTAGGGGGGGGGGCACCTCCCTCGGTTCGGCCATCCCATGTGGAAAGGAGAGCCAGGGATTGGGTGAGAACCGAGACACACGGATGTGAAGTTTCCATATAGGGAAAGTTTTCCCTACCCAGCAACGGACACCAGCGGAACTGACAAAAATTTGTGCTGCAGTGGGGTCCTCTTTTCTCTTTCACATCGCTGGGGCCTAGGATTTGGGTTCGGCGGAAGCTTTCTCTGCCAGGCAGTGGGGTCCACCTCTGAGGCCATACTCCCGGAATGTATCTAACCGCTACCACGGCCAAATAAATATTATGGTTGTTATGAATTTCCCCCCCTTCTATTACACGTTGTCAGGAATGCCATCATTCAGGGCATAAAAAGAGGAGAGCGGGGAGGGAAGAGGAAAGAGGGAAAACAAACAAACAAACGGAAAGATCAAGGGAAAAAAAAACAGACAAAACGCTCTCAGAGGTTGCCGCTGGTGGATATTTGGGACGTGGACCGGGGGGACTGGAACCCTTCGTCGACTTGGCCCCGTCGTTAATGGGCCTTTGGCATCAAGCACTCCATCTTCGAACCCTCCAAGAAGCAATCCCTTTGGAGTGGGTGACTATTCTTCGATCTGGGATTGTTTTTTCACAAGGCGCATGGTTTAAGAGAATACAGGAACATGCTCCTGCTCTTCTCTGGAAAATAGAATCGATTACGGACTCACAAACTGTGCAGGCCTCATGCTGGGAGGCATCTCCATTAAAAGCGACTGCATCGCAAGGACCGCCACTGACCCGGGCGCAATTCGAGACACCGCTCCCGCCTCTGTCTGAACTGTTGCCTGTGTGCGTGCTAGAATATCCTGACTCGGACACTGTCTACACCGTCGTACAACTTGCCGGTGGACCCTAGGAATTGGCACTGGCTACCGGGGTCCTCCAACAAAGACAGTGTTCCGTTACATAGATATACCACACGCATGGGCTATCAGATCTCCCGCCCGAAAGTGGATGTCAACTGGAAGGTTACTAAAAGATGGATGTCCACGGGGTGGATTCATGACTCTCACACGCGCTTGTCTCAAGCTTTGACGGCGTACTTAAAATTGTTAATGGAATTACCTGTGGTCAAGCAAGCCAGTTTTTTGTGGCTATTGGTGCATATGGCTGTGCCCACTGCTCTCTGGTGCGCCAGAAGAACATCCAAGGCCTCGCCTTTGTGCTCCTTGTGCCCCGGAGCCCGGATTGAAGACCAGCAACACTTCTGCATCCACTGTGACCGGTCTAGACCTTTGTGGAATTGGTGGCGCTCAGGAACGGTCCCGATACCGCATCCGGAAACACGCTGGGACGATGATTTTCTTCTCTTGGGTGCTGCGTCGCGTAGACAGCCCCGTAGCAACCCCCTCACGAATGGGAAGGAGTGTTTACGCGGAGCTGTGCTTTGGACCTTGTGGACCCTCCGAAACTCGGCTGTGCGAGGGGGGGAGCAGTTAACACCCCCGATGGTTCGCGCTGAAGTCAAGTACTCCATCAAGCAGACACTGTCAACCGAATGATCGCTTAAAGTCGTCAACAAAGGATTTGCTGCAAAAGCTCTCAAAAGATTCCACACACACTGGGGCTTGTTCACTGGTCTGGTGGAGATGTCTGTTTTGGCCTACTCACAATCCGGAACTCAAATTTTCCTCTTTTTTTCTTTAGGACTACAATCCGGAACTTAAATTTTCCTCCTTTTTCTTTAGGACATCGTTTTCACATGTCTTCACCCTTGTTTCCGACGACCTCCCTTTCTGCAGTGCTTGTTGTACTTTTTTCGTTCTGTTTTCGCATTTCGCATAAGACACTGAGAAGTCTGAGATGACAGACGAAGTTTAGGACCTGAACTGTACTATACTGTAGGTGAATGGTGGTCTTTTTCTACTTTCTGCTTTTCTTTCTCCTTGTCACTTCTTTCCTGCATAACAATTTTGAGTGTGAGCGGGATTTTGTCAGGGATGCCAGGCCCGATTCCTGGCTTTGTATTAAAAAAAAAAAAAAAAAAAAAAAAAAAAAAGGAGTACCCGTTGCCTGTCATCCTTGCGCAGGGGCCATGCTAATCTTCTCTCTCTGTATTGTTCCAATTTTAACAGATGTCTGGGACATCTGTGAAAATTGGAACGACACAGAGAGAGAAGATTAGCATGGCCCCTGCGCAAGGATGACACGCATAGAAAAAAGAAGTACCGGTTGCCCTAAGCTGAAGGACCTACCGCCACGATAGAGGGATATCGCAAGGGCAATTCTCAAAAAAAAAAGAAAAAAGAAAAGAAAAAAAAAAAAGGGACCTGTCGCCCGCTGTATCACTGCTTTTCTCTTTTTTTTTTCTTTTTTTTCTGGAACGATTTTGTATTTTATTTTATAAAAGGCCGGGAACCGGTCCTGGCATCCCTTACAAAATTAGGTAAGGCCCTCAGGGGGCAAGGCATCACCTGCCAAGCACATAGAAGGCACCACTAGATTTCACCCCACAGCCAACTCCACAGCCCCTACCACATCAAAGAGAATCATCAGCTAAAGCTAAGTTCATCATCAAGAAACTTTAATCACAACAGTCCTGACAACCCTAATTTAGTGACCCAAATCCCACCAACCGTGAAGAAACCATGCACAAAAAAAGGAGAACTACGGAAGAAAACGAATCAAAACCAGAGAAAGGAGACCAGCAATCAGCGCAACTTGATCATGTCCACTATTCATCAGGAGTTACTACCAACCCCTGCCAATCCGCCCGGCCACCGGCGCGGCAGGGGTCTGTGCCCGCAGGCCCCAAACTGCTGCCTCCTGGGGAAACAAAAAGGGTTGGTAGGTCGAAAAAATAAGGGCTCAGACGACTGCTCTGTAGGGGACTGGTGGTTTAAAAACATTACACCACCACTACCTCCGACCCTGTTTTTGCCGACCCTGAATTTCACTGCGCAACGAGTTTTGCCTCCGACCCTGCAGGCCATTTATGGGACGTCGGATGAAAATACCGCGGTACCGCGCGCAGGTTGTCCGACTGGATTTCAGATTGCCATGTCGGTCCACACAGGCTCTCCGACCCCGAAGTAGGTTGGTGCCCCAGCGGTCGCTGGTGAAACGACGCGCCGGTCGTTCACTGCTACGACGAACGTGGGGGTCTGGGCGTAGCTCTTGCCGGTGGTGGGTGTTCTTCCGCTACAACATGCCGTCCTTAGCCTGTTAGGTCGCGGCGCTCCCGACATAGGATAAGGCTTTCTTCCTCTCTCTCTCTCTCTCTCTCTCTCTCTCTCTCTCACACACACACACACACACACACACAAACAAACAAACAAACAAACAAGCAAGTGTCGCAGTGTATATTTCCATGTTGTAGCGGAAGATTCATTCGATTTTGCTCATCCTATGGATGGAAGTAGCGGCTGGCCTCATGCTACTGCCATCGATAGGATGAGCGAATTCGAATGAATCTTCCGCTACAACATCGAAATATACACTGCAACACTTGTTTGTTTGTGTGTGTTTGTGTGTGTGTGAGTGTGTGTGTGTGTGTGTGTGTGTG